TCTCGACTTTCTGGTGCTCAATAAAACACAAGGACAGAACCGGGCTCCTGTTTCGTGAACTTAAAAAGTTATTTGCCTAACATAAACTTGTATTTGCACACATCAGAAATCTTTTGTTGTTGCGATTTTGGGCGCTGCCCACGACTTCATGTGAGAAAAGTTTTTTAAGCAATACTCAGTAGGCTTTTGTCCTGGTGACATGCATTAGCAATTTAATTTTTTCTTTTTTCTGAAGTTCCACGTTAAAGTTTGATGCAGCTCTGCTTTCCTGAATGGACCATCTTCATCTCCACTGGAAGTGTAGCAAACAGGCATCTCTTTTTATAGATTACAGTACTCTAAAAGGTTGCATTGTGCCCTTGTTCATATTTTTAAAAGTGCAATTCTGTAAAGACAAAATATGTCTGGTGGTCTAGCTCTGATTTACATATCCTGCTAAATATTGCAGTACTTTCCTATAGCAAAATAGACCTGCAGAAAGAAATTACTAGTAAAATATCTTACATATGCATAGTTGTATGCTCTATATAGAGATTTTCTTTAGTTTTGATTGTATATCTCACAATTTTGTTATTGTTTATTAAACTGTGAAAGCTGAGTGTTTTTAATATTCTGTCCTAGAACGCGGTTAGATGTGCCCTTTTTTTGAGCACCTGCCCCTTTAGTGGTCTCTGCACGGCCCTGTTTATTTATACAAATGTATATTGCAAATAAAAACCAAAAAACTGTTTTCATTTTGAAGGAAGAAATAAAGTTGATGAGTATCACAAAAAATAATAAATGGGAATAAGTCTATATTCCAAGCCATTTATAAGCATCTTTACTGGTTGCAGTAACGAAGACACACAAATTAAACACACTGTGCACATTTAATAGTGAAACTGATACTATACAGACTAAAATAACTTTAATTTTGCTTTTTGTTTAATCTACAGCTTGAAAATCCATTCATATTACATACATTCATATTTTACTGTACATCAAGGTCACTAAAGCAGCAAAGAGCCTCTATTATTTTAACATGGAAGGACCACTGTGTTAAATAATTAGACATTCTGTGAAGTATGTACATCTATGCATTCATACTCATCTTTACTAACACACTTAACTCGATAACACAGCTGAATAACACAGGAAAGCATTTTAAAAGCATTACATGTGATGAGACAGACAACATTTACAGAAGTATATGGCCACCACTTTTAATTGGAAAGTCAGTCAAACATTTTTAACTCATTATAGCCAAGTAAAGACATTTTATGACATCTGATTCACATAATCCAGACTTTAATCCCATCAAACAGGTTTGAAATAGGGATCCCAAGGCCAACCAGATCTTTGAGTCCAGCATCAGTGCCTGACCTCATAAATGCTCCACAGAACAAATCAACACAAAGATGCTCTATGAAAACCTCTCAAAGAAGAGAAGAAGTTCTTGCAGCTGAAAAATGGGAACCAACAGCATATTAAAGAGTTTATATTTAAACATGACATCGTTTCAAGTGTGGCCAAATACTTTTTTCAATATGTTTGAGAGATTTTCTTAGAATTTCTGCCAATTTTCTCTTTAAAGTTGTATTTGTCCTCAGTTAGATAGACTTAACATGGCACAAATTACATAAAATTAACAGAAAGACCTTCTGCTTAAACTTTCCAGTTAAGTGTTTTCTTGTCGTTGAAACCCCGGGTGTATACATTTTTAGTTTGTTTTTGTCTTGTGCTAATTCATACCAAGATTCAACTGAAGCTGCTCAGTAAATGAAACTGAGAGAACAGTTTTCATCTGAAATCATCCCTATTATTCAAAATCTATTTTTGTTTAGCTGTTAAACAAATGTTCTACATTTTCAGAGTTAACAGAGACTTTCTATTCAGTGTTACAGATATGTAACAGTATATTCTGCACTGTTTTGGGGACTACAACTTGATAGAAAACACATTGTGTGAATATTTAAAAATAATATCTTTTATAGATGCAACATTCCAGATGGCATATGCAAATCTCTTCTTTTTGTTCGCAAAAGTTGCTCTGAACTGTTTTTGTTTCCAACCTTGAAGTGTTAGCTTCATTCAGCTATATAAAATTCTACAAACACAACATCATATATTAATTAAATAGATCTACACCCTCTGACTCTTTTAGCCACCTAAAGAACAATCACTGCTGGCAAATAATTAGGACAGGAATAAGCTCCTCACATGGCGATCTCAGTCTCCCACTTTCCCTGCCTGCTCCACCCCGTTCATCCACTCCTGCCCACTCTGCTGCTCCTTCCCTCCCCCGGCCTCCTTGTGTGCCTGCAGATGATGCATGAAATCATCCAGGATCTGCTGGGCCGACATGGAGTTCACGTCCCCTGCATCCTGCTCGAAGAGCAGCACCTTCAACCCTCCTCTTCCTTCCCATCTGTCACCCGCCGCGTGGGCGTGCCGAGGGTCTGGAGCGGCGTCGGTGTGGGCAGCGCTCCGGAGTAACTGCTGCTGGGTTTGTGGGTAAACAGGCTGTGGTCTGGCAGGATAACTGGGAGCTGTGGTTTTATAGGAAGCGGCTCCCATTTCAGCCAGAGAGAACGATGGACCGTGAGTGGACTCATGCTGGCCTGGAAGACTGCCCTCATTTTTAGCTGGGGTCAGAGCCTGTTTAATCGGCATGAAGGCCGTGACCCTCTGCCGACCTGCCTCTGACTCGCTCAGGCAACCTTGTGCTGCTTCCTCTGCTCTGGGATCGCAGGATTGGCCATCTGTCTGCTGGCTGGTCGGAAAAGAGTTTGTGAGAAAAGTTTGAATGGCTTCAGCAGAACCAAAATATTTCTCCAGGAGCTCCTTTACCAAAACTGGTACCTGGAGGGAAGAAACCAAACACAGGTTAACTGCTTGCTGTCAGCGCTGCAAATGGTACATGACCTTTTAAACATAGAAAACTTATAAATGTTGATAAATATCTACTTTGGGAATTTTGTTGCCATACATTGTTGTAGAAAAGTGGATGGATACATTTCCTTATGTGGGCTGCTGAAATTTAAAGAAAACAGGGGGGGAAGCACTTAGTGCCCACATTAATGACAAAAAAATATATTTAAAATAATATCACGCGTATTTTTAGCGACATTCTGTCATGGAAAGTAATTTCATAACTTGACAAAAACAGCCATAACGAGCATCTGTTATTAATTACAGTCCCAGTGGTTCGCCTTCCAGCAGGACAACAACCTTAAATACATGCAGGGTGTATTTAAGGTTTATATCAAAGTAGAGGTTTTTAATACAATAGAGGTTTAGATCAAAACTATTGTCATGGTCCCCCAAACAATTAGCTTCTGGGCAAAGACCCCTTTGCAAACTTTCAGATAATGTAAAGAAACACCAACTTTTACAAGTTTTTCTCACTTTTTTCACTATTCAATAATTAATACATTTATTTAGCATCAATGCTGCCTCATGCATTCTGATTTTAGTTTTCTGTGAGTTTCTAAGGATTTTTTTGCAGCAGGTCTTTTCCTTTGGTCTTCATATTGTCAAAATCTTGCCCATTTTGCACTTGCAAAGCGAGCTTGAGGAGCAAAATAGCTCTGTGAATTTCACTGGCAGCCAATCAACACAATGAGCATTGCAAGTAATAATGCAGTAAGTTATTTTAATTTATATTTTATAAAAATGACTGAAAACAGATTATATTTTATGATTTTAAAAAAATATATTAAAAAGTTGTGATTAAAAAAAGTATTTGAAATTTTTTTTATTTATTTTTTGTTTCTATAGCTACGCTCCAGCTTTCTGAGGCCCCAAAGCGCCCCCTGGTGGCTCCCATAGGGACTGCGGACCCCATTTTGAAAAAGTATGCTCCAAGTTTATATCTAAATCTATTTGAGAATCTTTGAAAGACTTGAACACTGATGTGCAGAGACACTCTATAAACGAACAAGAGTTTATGTTGTTCAGGTGAAGGGGCAATTGTTCAGTCTGTAGATGATTGGAGCTGAGAAAAATAAAAAATAAAAAAGGACCAGATTCAGATTTAGATTTAGGACTACAGCGGACCAACGTGACAAACCAATCAAGACAGGAGCACACATACCACACATGAATCTCAGTATAACTTATCAAAATGGGTTTTCACACAGAATCTGGGAACTCCTTCTGAAGACCTTGAACAAATGTCATTTGAAAATTATTTTTCAATTCAGAATCACATCATTAAATAACATGACTATAATTAATTGTGTAATTCAAGTTTCTGCTTGTAATAAACATAATTCCCTACTGTCTTAGTGTGAATCTGTAAAGAAATCAAAGCTATTATGTTGCAATAAACTACATGTGACATTATGAAAGACCTGCAGGGAACTAATGTCATATATTTGAGGTTTATCTGTGCAACAAACATTTTTAGCATTTCCACATTTTAACATTTTTACAAACGTTTGGAAATGCTAAACATTTATGCTTTGACAGTGAGATCTGTCCTTAAGTTTAAGGAAGGTGAACAGGTGAAAGACAAAGAAGAGCCAGGTCTGAAGATGTTCCCACAGGAAATAAAAAGAAAATTGTGATTTAGAGGAAAAATATTTGTAAAGCATGAATAAAGATGGATCAACATCACTTCATGAAACACTGATCTGGATGCTTCCCTGATAATTAATCATCAGTCCCTTTCTAATTTAATGTTTTTGGCCAAGATAATTGAAATGTTAGTTTATCTCAAAAAAGGATCTTTGATGGTTTTCAATCAGATTTTTAATCACATCACAGCAATGGGAATGGATTATTAAAGAACCTACAGGATGTCTCAACAGTGGTCAGTCTTATTTGACAGATTTGTGTCAAATAAATCTTTGTGTCATTCGGTAAGTTAAAATCATGGCAAACGCAGCTCAGATATGGGGTACCTCAAGGCAATGTGCTAAGACCTCTTAATTAAAGATTATGGAGTACTACAACACCGTCAGCAACATTTCTGCCAATAACATGCAACTTTATATGTTCTCCTCTATGAATCAGTTTGTACAATATAATGTGAGTAAATGAGTCAGAGTTTCCTCCAGCTTAATGCAGAAAATAACAGGTTTAGACAATAAAACGTGAAGATATTTAGCTCCATTCAGCTAAATATCTAACTATCTGATCCAAATATCTTCACAGAGGAAGGTGAACATAAAGACTTCAGACTGAAATTTTATCACCCAAACCATCCACTTAAAAACAGAGTATATTGATGCTTTTCAAAGCAGGACACTGCAGTTCAGATCTAATCCAGAGTCCTGACTAACCCCAGAAAATAATTTTATACAAGTCCATAAGCCAGTTTCCTACACTATCCTGTCCTGTTTGTCAACAGATAGATTGTAAAATTTTGCTAATGGTCTAGAAGGCACCGAGTTTGTCTTGGGTCTAAATGTATTTCATGATACATTCAAACCCCTTAGGTCATCAGAGACCTGTTCACAGAACCGACACTAGGAGGCAGCAGTGAGTTCCTACGCTCAGTATTTTTGGACCAACTCACTGAAATCGTCAGAAAATGGAAGCTCTTTAAAATCATTACTGTTGACAGCAGCTTTTGTGTAAAAGGCAACAACTGATGTCTTTCCTATCATGTTTTGGTTCTTTATTTGCTTAAATTTTATTTGTTTTACTGTGACCATGTCTCGAGCGGTTGTTGTTTTGTGAAATACTTGGTGTATGTGATGATTTTTTTTATTTTATTTTGCTTGTTTTTTGTTTTTCTTTTAGCAATTCAAAATATCTTGTTCCATCAATAATTATGCTATACAAAAGAGAAATAACCTTTTCTTTGCCTTTTGTTAGATTACAAGAAACTCATGCTTCTTGGAAATAAATTTTAAATATAGATGACTTCAAACTTTTGCACAATAAGCATAGAAAATAAGATGGTCTGCCATTTTAAAACTTCAAAATGTTTTTTCCAGTTTGGAGTAAGGAGGATGACTCCAGCTCTGTGTTAGATAAAACAGATTGTTCTGTCTAGCACATCCCTCCTGCACAAAACAGATAATTACTTGAGACTTTAAAAGAGTCATTAAGAGGCTGATGACCTGCATCCATGACTTTTCTCTCAATTTCCCCTGAAGTAAAGTCCCGATAGGCTCCTTAGGGGTGACAAATGGAAGTCTACACCACTTAAAGCCCACAGACCTTGTTGTTTTGTCCTTTTCTACTTTAAATTAGATTAATTTTGACTCTGCAGCAGGAAGAAGTCTCCAACTCTATTCAAAATATTCAGTTCCTGAAGCATATTTAAGACATTAAGATGTTTAATGTCAGAATTTGTTCAAACTCATAATGATTTCATGGTGTGAAGCCTTTGTATTTCCCATGACGCACTTTGATTCCTCAATCTGTGTTTAGACTCATCTCCGCCTTTCCTGTGAGGTAACCTTTGGTTTCGGTGTACAGAAATCGAAACAAAATCAAACAAAATTAAGTATAATTGTTTTCAACACATTTTACTCTATTTTTTCCTGTGATAAAATTATAAATTGCTACCTCTGTGAGACCAATCCACCTCACAGACGCTGCAGAGAGTATAAAGGTTGGAAACAACCTGACAGAGAGTCTGACTCCGAGATGTGGTGAGATCAGCAGAACAAAAACTTCCTGTGCTTTTAACAGATTACTTAATCAATAAAAACGTCCACTTTGGATTTTGTACCTTTTCAAGTGACTTAGAGACACAAAAATCAGTATAACATTGAATGTTAAAGAAGCTTTTTTAACCTAGATTGACATGAAGCAACTTGCAAAAGTGCCGTCACGTTTTGTACATTTTAGCCACAAATCTTGATGTATTTTATTAGCTTAGTAGAAAAACCTTCATTTAGAGATGAGGATTTGGATGTCTGAAAGAAGGGTATGGATACTTTTATGAGTTTAAGGCAACAGGATCATGGGAGCGGTCACTGTGACCCAGTGTGTTTGATAAACACACCAAGCTGGGTCAAATACTGGCAGGAAGAGCGATCAGCTGATAAGACACTCTGGTCAAATCATCTGTGCACATTCTCTGCTCTGAACAAAAACATTTTGTTCAGAACAAAGTCTGGGCCATTTTAATTCATAATGTGTAATGTGTAAGTGATTATCAAATTAGGACAGGAAACTAGTTGGGTCATTTTATGGACTATCCAACCATTGTGCTCTTATTGACACGTCCTTGCACTGTAAAACATTCTCTCACTGTGACAATGTTCTCAAGTTCTTATTGTTTTAATAAACTACCAACGAAGAAGAGCTGGCTGGCTGAAGCTTTTAGAACTTGACATGATCAAACAAGATTAGGGTTTTCAGTTTTTGTTTTGACAAATTTAAACCTGAGAAGCGAGGTTCTCAGGTTCACGGGATTTCCCTTGTAGATCCATCCAGCTCTCTTTTAGCAACAGTTTTCTTATTGTCCCTCTTCCATAAAGTTCAAATCTGTTTAGGGCAAAACTAAAGCTGTCTTTTCACATTCTCACACCCAAGCAATGCATCCTCCAGGAAGTGAACCTCAGGCTGCCAAAACTACAGATATTTACAAAATTTTACCACCGTATGCACAATATATTTTTATATTATAGTTTTTGCAAATATGTTAAATTTCTTTATTTGTTGGCAACCCCTGCATAAACCTTTATTTATGAATAATCATACTCCCTCACGGTGTCATTGTATTTATATATAACTTCCAACATTTTGTGTTTTTAGTCGATATTTGTTGGAATTTTCAGCACTAAAAAGTAGCTACTGCACACTACAACTTCAGAGAAAGGCAATAAAAAATATTATCAGCCATGCAATCTAAATGTTTTTACCTTAATGCATTATGCAAATAAAGATTTTAATAGAGGCTTGTATTAGAAATAATGTGTATTTGGTGGTAATAAAATAAAAGTCAGTAAAAGTGAAGTAGCACATGTCACACATACTGGTGATCCATCTTTACTTTTGGTAAAATAGTGCTAGTGTATTTTCAGAGTTTTTCTCCTCAGGACAGCTTTTGGTTGGCCTTGAGTTGAAGTGTGCATACGTGTCCATTAGATGGCAGTATACTCACGTTAATGTTCTCCAGCGCTGCGATGGTCCTGTGGGCGTCGTTCAGCTCTGAGCCCAGCTGGGAGACGCGATTCAGAAGAAATTTTCTCTCACTGCTCAGGCTCTCCGACTGCAAACACACGGGAAAAGAACAGAGTGACACATTAGGCTTTTAATGCAACAAGTTGCAAAACAAGACACATTAATCTTTTTATTATTATTGCACCCAAAGACTCACCGCTTTGTGAAGGTGCTCTCCCAGTAGATTATTTGCCTCTTTTGTCCCACTATGTGTCGGCAGCAGGCTTTGTAACAACAGAAAATAAATACATAATTATTAAGCTGGGCTTCCGGACATGTAATAGCAGCTGTCTGAGAGTAGCACTTAAAAATAATGAGTGTGCAACAAATGACTCCCAACTGGAGCCCAGTGTGAGGCAACCATTCATCCCAGTAGCTGCAGCATGCTGAGGAACGACCGGTATGTGCTTAGTATGCAGCAGCAGTTGTTTGGTAACAGATTCAGGCCTGACCAGCGACTGTGGACGGTTTTAGTTGGCCTCTCTCTGTTAATTTGGTAAACTCTACGGCTCGTATTGCTGATCCAGAATGCTGCATAGATCAATTAATCCATAACATCCTTGTGCAAGCCCTTGCATTACAGTGATTGCCTCTTACATGTGGTATTTTTTGTGTCTTGCGTCACCTTGCTGCACATTTATAGATCTGCCTTATTTATCTGCACAAATCACCTTTTATATTTCTCCTTGACATGACTGAGCTCGTCTCTGGTCCTCTGCAGCTCTGCCTCCAGGCTCTCAATGCAAACCACGGTCTGCAGCAGGTTCTGGTGGAGATCAGCATTCTCCTCCTGCAACGCCCTGAGCACAGAGATGGGGGAGGGGAGGACAGCTTGACTCCATAAATAAGGACTGGAGATATCTGCTATCTGCTTTGTGCTGCAAAGACAGGGCTAAAGGATATCAGGGAAATCTGAGTAGCACTTGGATATTATCAAACATCCTGTTTTGAGTTATTGTTGGGTAAATTTAATCAGTCCCTGCTGTTGCACCCATAGCAGTTTTATCGTAAATAGTCATTTTCAAGAAAGGGCCACTCTTAGGTAAAAATCCTAATCTATTTTACCTACAATCCTATTAGATTACATAAATATGCTCATCACATGTTACTGCATGCGTCTATCTGAATTATGATGGTTTCACTAAATGTTGGTGGCAGGATGTGAGATTTGGGCTTCATAGCATCTGCTGTAATCAGTTTGATTGTCTCGTTAAAATGCTAACTGCTGTTAGCATTACAAACCAATAGGAATGTATTTGCCACCGATCAACCCATTTAAGCAGAAAAAGAAGACAAACATACTCTTCAGATCTGTGTACCTGTGACATAAAAACAGTCCAAAGGTTTTAAATATGCAGCAGCCATTTTGGATATCAAACTCTGGGGACTTTCCATGTAGGAATTCCCGCATCAGAAATCCTTCTGTTTCATTTTTGTAGTTTACGATGAACCAGAAGATCCTGGTTTCATTTTCAGTCTACAACTAATCTACACTTCAAATGCTACATTCAAATGGAGATTGAAATCAGTCTTTGGGTCTAGGATTGGCATCACATCTGAGTTCAGTGCTTTCCCTTTCAAAGTTGATGGAAAACCATTGGAGATAAAACTGTTAGCAGGACATATTTCTGTTGTATGAACAAGAAAAACATGGATAAACAGAGACCGAACAGCACAGACAAAAGAAAGGAACCATTTATTCCCAAAACTTTCACTACATTTTATACATGGAGCAGCCACGTTGGATAATGAAGAAGTGTCTACTGAGTGACCTCTGAATTCAGTGAGTTCTGACCACTGCTTTACTGAGATACAATCCAATCAAATGACAGACAGGTCTCTAAATGTTGAAGCTTTGTGTAAAACCCATACTGGATTTCTACCTGAGAGGCTCTTTGAGGACATCCCAGATGTTCAATGTGAAAATTCCTTCCTAAGAAATCTCTGAAATGTAAACTGAGTACAAATCTATTCACCATAACAGAAATATCTCATGAGGCCTTCAATCAAACCTATATATGATTGACTGAGTGCATTTTTGCTTTAGAAGTTCAGCTTTAGAGGTGGTCGTTACGTCACTATTGAGCTTGTTGTACATGTAAGCTGGAAAACCAGTGTGATTTGCCCTTTCTTGTGGTGCAAACTAATAGTATAACAAGCCAATAACTATGCATTTTTCTATATTTTAAGCATTCACACATTTGGTCAATTTGGATGAAAATAAACTGTACAATAACATTGTCAGTACACCAGTGGAAACCTGGTTTGATGAGATATAAACAATATGATAGTAAACTCTTCCGCCTAGCAACTTTTCCTACATTTGATGTAACAGAAAGGCATACTAAGATATCTGACCTTGGGACTTCTTGGGAACTTCCAACTCACTAGGACTAACAATTTCAGTTTCTAAATTAGTCCTATTTTTTTTCTGTTTTGGGATTCAAAAACTGCAACTTCTGACTACAAGACCAGTGCACTATGAGACCAGGCCTCGCGTTTAATGCCAAGACCTTTTCTGCAAGAACAGAAAATAATGTTCTCCCTCCTGGAGCTGCAAAAACAAGAGAAAGTCATTTTTGGCCCAGACTTGCTATTAGCACAAATGTTTTTCAGTTGTAATTGTGATTAGTCAGAAAGTGGAAGTGGGCATGGTTATTATGATAAATGCTGCAGTGGGGTTTCTCTTCCTCAAGTAAAAGGAAAATAAATTCTTTGTTCATGTAAAATACTGTAAGTAGAGGCTTTTAGCTTGCAGCCTAATCTGCAAGCAGAAAGTCCCAATTCTGAGATACATATCAATGTATCTCAGAATTGGGACTTTGATAAGGGAATTAGTATGTCAAAGCTGATTTCAGTGAGTCCTGGTTGCAAGTCAGCGTGCTGCTTATGTCAATCCAAAGAGATATCATGTATTCCTCTTCATGTTATGAATCAGAAAAACTGAAGGAAAATGTTTGCTAATCAAGACTGAATAGTACAATCTGTTCCACAGGTTTAAAGAGAGACGCAGTCAGAAGAGCTGATAGTTCACATCTGAAACCTGCACACAGTGTACTGCATTAACAAGACATACGTAGTACCAATCAATGATTTATGTTTTACAAAATAGGAATGATATCAAGGACCAGACCGTACAGAACCCCTCATCTGGCTTCAAAGTCTTTCTACATTTTAATGAATGAATTGGGAGGTAATAGAGGAATTTATTTCTGACTTTTAAATATATAATAATGAACAAATTTGCAAAAAAAAAAAGGTTCTTTACTAGTGCAAAAATGACAAAATCTGGTGTTTGAATTATGTATCATCTATGACAATGTAGCAAATGGTAGTATTCATATATATATATATATATATATATATAGTCATTCTGATTATTTTTTTCCCCCACACCCTTTCATGTGACTGCATTAGCGATGAGATCGAGTTTGTTACATAAATTAGTTCCATGACAAAACTTTCCCCTCCTTTTTTAAACAGGAGAACACTCATTATTGGGATCAATAAATCCTCTCGCACAGAGCGAATCAAGAGAGAAAAAAGACAAACACAGAGGACACTTACTGAAGGTGGTCCGGATCGCATAGCATGTTCTATAATAAAGACAAGAACACAGACAGGAAGTGAGACATGGCAGGAAATACAAGGACAGAAGGCTTCTAATAAATATTTCACAAACGTTTTATGAGAATTTTAGATTCACTAAATTGTAGATGATCTGATTATATCTGAATCTGGGAGGGATTATTTCTACAGCCCTGTGGCTGAATCAAAGCTCTTCAGCTCCACAGTTTGCATGATTTATTTTGAATTCCAGAGATTTGAAGATTTAAATGACAATAACTATGACTAAAGAACTAGCTTCACTTGATACCATTAGCAAGCAAACAGAGACAGGATAGAGTTACAACGAGGACAACGGAAATTGTATAACCAGGACACGCCTCGACCACATTACTGAGGATCTGAGAGACTCAATAAATTATTGAATAATGCCTGGAGTCCCACAAGTATCGATCTGTTCTGTCTAAAATGTTCCCCGGTTTTTCCTGTTGTCATCATGTATGAGCAGTTCCAACACCCCATGAAAGGTTAGTCTTATATAATGATGTGTAAAATTATCCTCATACCAGTTCTCATCGAGTTATCTGGAATGAGGTACAAATGGTTGTGGGAGTGCCGTTTCATTTTCTGAATGCACAGTCATTTCAGAGAACAGAAGGAGCAACGCCTCGGGAACAAACAAAACGTCACAATAGTGACAAATTAGAGCCTTTCAAAGGAAATGTCCCATAGAAGCACAGGAGAGTTATCTGCTGCATAGCTGGAGGATGAGTCAGCTTGCAATGCGGAGTATTTGACACATCCCACACATACCCTCTGACTCAGCTGCACTGCCTCTGCAAGAAAGAAGGAACGTTGCTTTTAATTTGTTCAGGCACTTCACTCTGTAGAGAGATTTAGTGCCATTTCTGTCTTCAGGACCTTCGTCTGTGCTAATTTTATACCATAATCAACAGTTTCACTCTGCTAAGTCATTTGATGGACTTAATTCTGAACTTGTCCAGGCAAATTATTATGTTTATTATATATATTATTATTATGCAAACCAAAATATTTGAAAACTTCAACTTTCAATTTTAGTATCTGTATTTTGTTGAAAAAAAACTAGTGATATTTATTAAGAAATAAGCATATTTATCAAATGAATGCTTAATAAGTTTGTCAGAGGCCCACTTCCTTACAAAATAGGAAAGAGAAGAGAACATATTCAATTAATATTATTATTAAGATCAAGATTGGCTTTGTCTTGGTCTTTATAAGTCATTTATTTATTGAGTTAATCAGTGTAAAGGAACTTTTATTTTGTAATCCATCCAACTCCATGTCATAAGCCAATTTCTCTCTAAAATGGGAAAGACAAGAGAGCATGCAATCAAGTAAAGTGCCTATTTGTTTATTTTCATAATATATGCTAATTAAACTGATTAGAGTATCAATCAACTTTTAAATAATGACCCATGACATTCATTACATGTACCCCAGTTTCTCTTAAAAAAGGGAAAGACAAGAAAACATGAAGCAAGGAACCTGCATGTTAATTTTCATGACTTGTGTATTATTATTAAGCTGATGATGGTGTCTGAGAATCCTTAATCCAAAAGATTTATGACGAACACACAGTTCTAAGTCAAGGTTGTAAAGCAGATGTGTGTTAATGTTGCCTCTATTATTTTGAGTTAAAATAATTAAAAAGTTAAAAGAAACTGGAACTGGAAACAAGGCTTGATGATGAAAAATCATGGGGGAAAAAACATATTCTCCAAATATTAATTGTAAGTTTATGCATTTTTATTTGGTACTGCAACAAAAAACTTGTTTTATGACATTTTACACATCCTTACCAAGGGTGTGTATTTCAACGGAAAACTCCCTTTGTTTTAAATAAACTTTAGGTCAACATGGGCTATTGTCTTTTGGGTTGACTTGACCTGACATTAATGTGTGCTGTAGACTGAACCAAGTTGGCTGATACTGGTTTTGGTTACTTACAAACTGCACAACCTTTGTCAAAACACCACTTTAGTGGACCTTTTTAAAACATGTCCTTCGTTTTTACTTTCACGTGTCAAGACAACGTGTGAAAACTCATCCTGGTTTGGAATATTACTCACATCTGTGGGCTTTGAAGGATGAAAAACTGTGAGGAAGGGCTCAGATGAAGAACCTTGAGTTAGATTTTAGTCAGCTATGGCCTTAGATCTTTTTTCTGCTGAAACAATCAGACATTTTATTGGTGTTAGCTTACCCTGTGCTGCTTAGAGATCCCCAAGGGCTGTGACTGGGGTTGGCATCCCTGCTCTGAGCTGTGGCTAGTAGCCGTGGAGGCATTGTCTCGGCCCCTGGATGAGTCGGACTTTGTGGATGAGGACTCAGAGCCGAACCCTTGTCTTGCAAGCTGGGATGAGTGTGGAGGCGAGTTGCTCGGCCCTCCGTGCTCAGCCTCATGGTGCGTCTGCATAGGGAAGTGTTGGGTATGTGGGTTTTGGTTTTGAAAGTTGCTGGGATAGTATTTGCGGTGGTGGCGCTGCTTGGGTTGGGCTGGTTCAGGACTGGTGCTGGTTCCGTCTGTATGATGAGGCCCATATCTGCCGTATCTGTCCCCTGACATGGAATCTCCAGCTGGAGAGGGCCTCCTATCTTTCCGTCCGTGGCCGGCAGATTGCGTGTAGTGACGAGGTGGGGGGCTGCCGCGGTGCTTCCTTTCTACGCATGTTGTCAGCCTGTCCGAATCGGAGCAGTCTGAATGTTTTCGCGAGCCGATGGTCGGTTTCACTTGCCTGCTGTGTTGCTTCAATGGGAGCTCGGTGTCACTCCGTTTCCCACCTCTGTGCTTCTTGGGAGGAAGCGCAGGCTTGACTGGCTCAAGTTTGGGGACTGGGGAAGGGGTCTTCTCAGTAGTTTTGTTGGGGTTCACGCCAAAGATGGAGAGTTGGGAAGGACTCATAACCTGTTTTGTTATCTCATCTAAAAAAGCTGAAAACTGCAACTTTCCCTCCACAAAGTTTGCCCGGGCTTGCTCTATCTCAACCTGAGTGATACCTTTCCCTTTCTGCCCACTTTGACCTTCTCCCGTGGTGACTCTTGGAGAAAGTATCTCCATTGACTTAGCCTTGCGAATGTCATTGTTATTCTCCTTGTTTTTGAGTATCCCTTTGCTGGGTAACTGACTCGAAGAGACTGCCCTCTTGGGACCCCTGGGCACCCCTAAAACAATGTCCTCCTCACTGAAAGCCAAGCTTCGGTTCAGACTAGTTGTCTTAAACAAGGGCCCATGGTCGATTGTAGACACTTTGGACCGTCCTCTACCGCCATCTATTTCATTGCACTGCAGAAGCCCTTCTTCACTTCGACTGTGACCTCTGTTCAGGTCGTAGAGATCATTACTTCTGCTTTGGAGTGAGCCATCATTCAACTTGCTGACAATGTTGCCCTTTTTGCTGTGCTTGACAGTGGCAAAGACAATGGGCTCGCTGCTGTCATCATCTCTGAAAGCTCTGCGCACATCCGAGATATTGGAGCAGGACAGGGAATGCTGCGGCCTCTCAGCTTGCTGAAGGGAGAAGGGTTCGTTGGCACTTGTCTCTGTGTACCAAGAAGTGGAAGAGGAGGAAGAAGTGGAGGAGAGTGAAGAGGAAGAGGCCCTGGAGAGGGTAACAGAAGTTTGGTGGTCATAAAGTTTCTCAATGTCTTGGTGGTACGGATACTGGGCATCGGGATGGGGGCCGTCATAGAGATATTCACTGTACTGGTGGCGGCGATGGTGCCCCCGGCTGTCGTCTGTATGCCCATCACTGTCATCGAGCTTCGTATACCTACATCAAATTAAAAAGAAACATAATGTGCCAATTGTATCCACACATGGAGTTAAAAACACATTTTAACAGATACTTTAAAAAGAACATGTTTCTTGATTAGTCAGTAAGAATTAACTAAATTATTTGTATTTGCTGAATACCAGAAAAATGTGAGTGAGATTCCTTTTAGCTATTTTTAAATACTTTCTTCAAAGTTAGAAATTTGAATACAGTAAAGATTACAATGCCTATGTCTTACTAAACAATTTTGTGAAAGCCAAGATGATACAATAGTTACAAGAGATCTTTCCATCCATCCATCCATTTCTACACCCTTTTAATTTTTGTGAATCCTTGGAGAAAGTAAGGCAACAGTCTTAACTCCTGCACCATCATGCATGCTCAGTGTTACTTGGAGACATGTCCCATGGACTGATAAAACTAATCACAATAACAATTGTTACAACAGTGCAAACAAGGTAGACATTGGCATTACTGAGAACACCATCTCAACTGTGAAGTAAGCTAACTTGTGTGGGTGTTTTGTTGCAGCAGTGACTGGTATGCTTTACAAAATAAATGGTAACATGCTCAGCCTTTATGTGTGAATACAGAAGCAACATTTCATTACATCTCCTAGGATTTTAAACCTTGGACCTCACTGAGTCCTCCAAACAGACAGTAATGCAAATAATACAACAAAGTAATTGTTTTGGAGTGACCATCACGAGGTTCCGATCTCAGTCTATTGAAAATTTGTGGGCAAATGTGCAAACAAGACGGTCTTCAAACTCCCTCAGTTACACCAGTTCTGTCATAAAGAATGGGCCAGAATTCAAGGAAACAAAACAGTGTTTTACCCAAAATGTTTCCAAGAAGTCAAATGCTAAGGAATCATATTTTGACAAAAGTTCAAAAACATTATTTCTATCATCTTTCTAAAAATTAGTTATAAAATAATTTTGCAAATTGTAATGACCACAAGAGAGTAGTCTGATTTAATTGGAAACAGTGAGAAAAAATTGCAATCTATTTTTATACAGTTCCTGCAAACATCTGATTTCAGCTTTATGTTTACTATGAAGCTCTAGATTTTGTTTTTCTTTCTCTTTGGGTAAAAATAACCTTCCTACCTCTGTGAACGAGTGTCTTGATGATGATGATGGTGGTTCCTCTGTTTCTTACTCTGATCAAAAGAAGGTCTGTGGACGGGTTTAAAGAACTTGTCCATTATGCGTCTCTTTCCTGGTTCCCAAGCTACAGATCCCGTCCTGCCTCAGGTTATTAAATATCTGCTGCTTAGTTTGTGGCTGTTTTTACCCTGGTTTTTGACTACAAGACTAATGTTTAGTAAAATATAACTCCCAAGTTTACCGCCATTTCCAAAAACTGGTACCCATATTGTCAGATATTGCTAAAAAAGTAATCTAATCTAGTTAATAAACCTACAAAGTCCTCAAAATAATTAAACAAAACACTCCACAAAAATTGCAGCCCTCTGAGTATTTAGTACACAGGTGGATTGTCTGTGTGCCTCCTGTGTATGTTTGTCTCCCTCAACATCTAACTTCAGAATAATGGGATGAATGAATTCCTGGGTAGTGGCTTGATTTTTCATCACGCATGAGCAGCTGGGTGCTCATCGAACCAAAACAAAGGGTGGGACCTTTGTCCTCACCGAGGAGACAATTGACCAGAGCCCCAGGAAACTAAATTTATATAAACCCAATTTATTTACACTAATAAACTTGACTCTTGGTTACACAACTTCATGTTTAAATCTCTTTCATATTCATTTATTCAGTTTTAATGCAATATATATGTATTATTTTGTTTCTTTAGTAGTTCACTTTTTTCCAAAAAGTGCACATACATCCAATCAAAACTATTGAGTTGCCCTTCCTCTCCCCCATTGATTTTAAGAGATTTCCTGCTTGTAGATGAGGCATGTATAATCACACTCAAAACATATGTATGTCATCTCTTTACATAAATTTAACAGACTACACACATCTTTTCAACCTTTTTTCATTATAGCACCAATTTATTTTAAGCATAATTTCCAGATATGTGAATTTGATTGCTAACATAATGTTTTTTTAATGAATTATTATTCAAGGACTGAATAAACAGTACGATTCAAATTCTGGTAGAAATGTGAAAGTAGCTTAAATATGTCACATCAGATAGCACTTTGTTATTAGCAGTGACTTGCAAAAGTAGTCTTGCATCTTCAACATTTCCATATCTTGGAAATGTCACATTACAACCACAATACTTTGGTATCTTATAATGTGATGAATCAATGCATATTAGGGTATAATGTTGAAAGGAGAAGGATCTTATTTTTTTTAACAATTTCTAGAAATGAAGATTTGTATTCATTTGTATTGACCCTTCTTCACTTTGATGCGCCTTAATGGGCACCGTTCAATACATTATCCAGAAATGAAAGAGTGTTGCACAAGTGCAAAGGTACTATTGCTAGCTTTCTACCTGAATGTGTCAAACCTGCTAGAGGTGGCAAAATACTTGAGACTGTGGGAGAGGCTCACCTTCCAGCAGGACAAACAGCCAGGGGTACATTAAAAGGGTTGGATCTTAGCACAGTCTTTTATTATAATGGCGTAGTTGCAATCAGACTGAAATGTAGATGCTTTCCACCCACTCTAAATGAACTGAGACTTTTTGGGGGAAAAGGTATGAGCAAATATTTCAATTTAATCTGTGAAGTTACTAAAGACATGCTGAAAAGGACTTGCAATTGTAAATGAGGCAAACTATTGATGACTGAATATATAAGCAGGTTAGAGTTTTCATATTTTAAGTTTTTTTATGTTATTTTCCTTCCTCTTCACAAATAGTCACTATTTTGTGACTTGCATAAAACTGGAATATAATACACTGAGTTCTATGTTTATGTGACCAAGTGTAACAAAGGTTTAAGGGGTTTGAATAGTTTTGCAAGGCGTTGTTACAGCTTTCACTTTAAAAGATAATCTGTCTAGATTTTTGACTCATTGCAAAAAAATATAACCTTTCAGCACAATAATAGTAATTACTAGTCATTGTTTGGTTTGTTCGTCATATGAAGAAGTCTCTCTTTCAAAGGTCTGCACATATCCTGTTTAGGAGAGAATGAGATCAATTCATTGGCTTTGTGGTGGGGCTGAAACTAGGCCTCAGGATACTTCCCAGCCTCCAACTGCTGCTGATCAATTGGGTGCTACACAGTAATACACACAGTTGTATAAGATAGATGCCCAGACTTGTTTCTTCTATTGTAATCAAGCCTAAACCCAATTCTGCATTGAAAAGCAAGGGGGAAGGGATGAAACAGCTTTTTCCATCATTGGGAGAAACGTGACTCATAGCACGTATTTTGCGACACCCCCTGCTGGTGAACAAAAGTAACTACAATGTTTAACTGGTACTTTTCCACAATTTTCACAGCGACATTACACTGGACGTTTCTAGAATTATCTGGTTTTCCAACTTGCTTTGTTTTCCCCCTTACACAATGCTAACTCATTTCCTGTCTTCAAAAATAACATTGTGTCAACACCGAGTATTTTGGCGACCAAGGCTAATAAGAAAATGTTTTTAATAAAATACAGCAAACATCAGAAACTGTTTACAGGCAATAATGCACAGTTCAGTAAAAATGAAAATACCAACTCCTCCATATAGTCCATGGAAGTTGAAAGTAATGAGTCTGCTGCTTTCTTTTGTTTTTTAATCGCAACAAACTGCTTATCAATGCAGTAAAAAAGGAAAGTAGATCCGACAACTCACCCAGCTACATACTGGTTTCATCCGGTTCTGAAGAGCCCTGTCATGCACGTGTTCCGATCGGTCCGCGGAGCCAGCAACGGCTGTTTTGTTTTCTTTTAAAAAAAAAATATCCTCGAAGACGAATAACTACGGTTTAAAAAGGTTTTAATCATGATATAAGCTCAATAATATAAGCACAATCTCTACAATAAGCAAAAATGTTTTTGTATTTCAACCTTAGTTATATTATTGCCATGCTTTAATGGATTTGTGTACTTTGAATAGATACACAATAATATGGATCCTTTTTCAGTTATATAATAATTGTTTGTTGTGTCATGTCATTTATTACAGTTTTGCTGTAATAACTGGCATTACAGCAGTTAGTACAGCAATATAGTTTATTACATTTCGCTTCTAGATGCGTAGTTGTTTGCAATAAGAAGGAACTACTTTGAGCGGATGAACAAATAAGTCTTTGCCCTAGCCGAATGACGTGGAGCCAGATGGATATAAATAGCAAGGACGCCATTTCGTTTCACAAAACATCGACGCACTTCTTGATCTCACGTAAGGCAGGCGAACGGTACAGGTTGACGCGTTTTTCTTTTTTGATCAAAAGATAATCCTAAAAAGAACATGCATTTATTTATTTTTTATTTAATTGCGTAGCACAATATGTTTACTGCTATAAATCGTTCTTTTTTACCGTTCATTTTTTACATTTGGCTCCAGTCTCAATAGACGTTATTTTTCTCATGCTTTTTAACTTATTACCTAGTAATGACCCTATTATTAAGCTAAAAGCGATTACTATTTTTTTTTTCTTTTTTCTTAACTTGATTGCTAAGTTAACGCCTAGCTTGGTTTGAAAAACGTAGTTTCAGAACGCTTAAGATAAACATTACTCGATTATCTTTTGTTTTCTCAGACTAAATGTTTTTTGTTGAGCTTTCTACAAGAAATCGGGTTAAGCTGTTTTTCGAGAAATTGTTTTTTTCAGTTGGTATTCTTAACGGCTGTTGTCTTAATATGGGCGCCGTGACGTAAAACTTGGCAAATGTTGGCCGTTGGTTGACTCATAATAACGCCGTGACGTAATGGGCAGAAAAGCGGGGAGTGGTCAGGATGTTTCTAGACGCATGCCCAACTATGGCTTTGAGCTGCCGGTAGTTAATAGAGTATAATTCCGTGTTTTTTACGGTAGCATAACCTAAGAGATCGAGTAGTTGCTTTTCTGTGGTGAGCCTTTCAGTTTTCCTCTTTGTCCTACTTAAATGGCTTAACATGTCTGTTAATGTTTCGAATGCTATTTTGAGCTGCCGGTAAAGTTAACGGGGAAAAAAACGGTAGCATGAATTTAAAAAAAAAAAAACGAATAGGGGTGTTTGTGTGATGAGGCTTTTAGATTTTTTATCCGAGTTAAACAGGCTAAAATCTTATCAGTTAAGTTTTGCCTATGGCTATTTCGAGCTACCGATACAGTTAACGAATAATAACCCCCGCCTCCCATTGTTTACGATAGAATAACCTAAGAAAACAAGTAGTTGTGTTTCTGTGGTTAGCCTTTGAGGTTTTTCTGTTTTGTCCAATTTAAATGGCTTTGTCTTAACATGTCAGTTAATTTTTCTAATGCCTATGGGAGTGTTGAGCTACCAATGCAGTTAACAAATAACCTCCTTTGTTTATGGTGTCTAACCTAAGAAAACAAATAGTTGTGTTTCTGTGGTGAGCCTTTGAGATTTTTCTTTTTTGTCCGTCTTAAACAGCTTAAACTTGACGTTATATCAGTTGCTTTTCCAAATGCCTACGGCAGTATAGATTTGTCTATTTACATTGACATGCAGTTTGGAGAAGACTTAAAGGCTTAGAATTTCTTTTTACCTATGGATCGTTACCATTACTATTATAACGCCATAAATAACAGACTTCTCTTTTAAAAAAAAAAAAAAAAAAGGACCAGAGTACAGAATAATGGCTTAGTTGTATTCATCTCAAGTGGATCGCAAGTTTAGTTCTCAATATAAAAAAAAGTTTAGTCAATTGAAGAAGAAAACATTTTGACTTACAGAAGACAGAAGATTTTTTTTTAATGAAGTCAAATTTGACTTTCAGATTTTTTATTTTAATTTTCTCTACTCAAAAAAAAACACAAGCTGGTTGCCTTGACAGAATAATGGCTAAGTTGTATTCATCAAGTGGATCACAAGTTTAGTTCTTAATATAAAAAAAGTTTAGTCAATCGAAGAAGAAGAAAAAAATTTTGACTTACAGAAGACAGAAGATTTTTTTTAATGAAGTCAAATTTGACTTTCAGATTTTTGATTTTACTTTTCTCTACTCAAAAAAAAAAAAAAAAAAAAAGCCCAAA